AGGTTTGGAAAACACAGAATGCATAGGCTCCTTTCAAAATGGAGTGAAAGGTGACCCAGGCCAATGCGGTGTTGGGTGGCCAGTCGGAGACAAAGCTTAGAACAAATGGCTATATGCTGTCCTTGGTGCTAGAAGCACGACACTGAGGTTTTGTGACTACGGATAATCCATTTGTACAAACATTTATTTTCAAGGTGCTCACTATGTGTCAAGTCTCAAATCTGCTTCCCCTGGTTTTCTTTTCTGCACAACAGTGAAAGGTAGAGGCAGAATGGTAAGAAATGTGTCTTAGTGTGACTTGGAACTCCAATGGCCCTGCTCTGCCCTTTGTGTGCTCGAACCACTCTCCAAGATCGTCTTCCCTGAGCCGGGACCTTGCTTTGAACACGGATCTCAAATGTGCTCTCAACACTGTGGCAATCTAGTTTCACTAGCGATTACTTAATTCTTTCTTAACACTTCTCCCACGCTCCCACACACATTCAGGTTACCTGCGGTCATGGAGAAAATGGCGGCCACCAGGTGTGAATTTTCCCTGTCTTCCCAATAGCCAGTCTGCAAGCTGACTTCTTCCCCACTGCCCTGGAGGAAGGGCCCCTCTTCCTACTGGTCCTTCCATTAAACAAGGAGGCCTTGAGACTGAGGAGACACTAATGTCCAGTGGCCTTTGTAAACCACCCCAAATCTCTGCTCATCAATGCCTCAAGGTCACGAGCACAGAACACTAACAAGGTCAATCAATCACCAAAGTCAACCAGGCTTTAAGCTACAGTCCATCCAAGAACTTCTTTGCTTCTACCTTTTCTCTGTAAAAGTCTCTTCCCTGTTGGTGGCGCACCCCCAACCACTTCCTGTTTGGTGCTGCCTATTCAAATTCTTTTTGGCTTAAATAAACTCTTAAGAGTTTAAAAAATATGCCTCAGTTTATCTTTGAACCCTACAAACACATGCGTTTTGGTTCACCTCCCTCCTGCCTTCTCAAAGCCTTCCCTTCTTTTTTTTGGGGGGGGGTTCTCCCCAAAAGAGAATGTGAGCAAGAGAGTGAGCATGAACGGGGAGGGGGCAGAGAGAGAGAATGAATCTTAAGCAGGTCAGCGCCGCACCTGACGTGGGGCTCCATCTCATAACCCTGAGATCATGACCTGAGTCAAAACCAAGAGTCAGACACTTTATCACTTGACCCACTGAACCACCCAGGGGCCTCTCCCTTTTTTCTAAATCACCCCGTTTCTTCTGCTCTTCCCCTCTCCTACCATCCCATTCTTACCAGCATATGAATCATAATCTTGTCTCTTTTCTCCTGAAAAACAATAAACAAAAAGAAACAAAATCCAAACACTCTCTTGAGCCTTCTTATCTCCTTAAGATCTGCCGACATACATGAATTTCCTTCAAATCACTCCAGTCTGGCTGTGGGCCCTACCATGCCATCACACCTGCTTTGCAAGTGTCACTGTAGTGGGTTGAATAGTAACCCCCCAAACGACAGGGCCCTCGAACCTGTGAGTATGAACTTATTTGGAAAAAGATGTCATTAAGCTAAGGATCTGGAGATGAGATCATCCAGGATTTAGGGTGGGAGGTAAGTCCCCTGCAGATGTCCTCACAAGAGAAAGGCAGGGGGAAATCTTTGATGTGGGAGAGACATGGGGGCCATGTAGGAGCCATGTGAAGACAGAGGCAGCTATGGGAGGGATGTGTCTACAAGCCAAGGAATGCCACGCACCGCTAGCAGTCCATAGAAACTGGAAGGATTCTCCTCTAGGGCTGTCAAAGGGAAGGCATGCCTGCTTGATTTTGGGATTTCCGGTCTCCAAAACTCTGAAAGAGTAACTTTTTGCTGCTTTAAGCCACCACATCGTGGTAATTTGTTATGGCCACCCTAAGAAACTAATAGTCACCCATAACCTCCATGTTACGTAAGTCCAAACATGATACCATCTGGATCTAACATCATGCATGGTATCTGACTCAGTTGACTCTTCTTTCCTTGAAACAGCTCACAGTCCTCTCTTTGAGGGAACCACTTTCTGTTGGGTTCTCTCTTCTCTTTGGGAATCCTTTAGCTTCGGGTTCTTTGCTAGTTTTCTGCTTCTGCCTCACCTCTAAGTGTCTGCTCTTCCCGCTCTATGTTCTCTGAAGCAATCCCACTCATGCTTGGGGCTCTAAATATCATCCATATACTAAAGGTCCCCAAACTGGTGTTTCCAGCTTAGAGCTGCTGATCCTTTCAGTCACGCGTCTGTCATACCTACTTGGCACAGCAGCTTCAGTGATCCAGTGATCCCACTGATGAGCCAACACATGTGCCCAGAACAGGACTTCTGAGCTTCACCAATCTCTCCTCCTGCCTGTCCCCTGAAAAACTCATTCCTCCTCTGGTTTCCACATCTCAAGAAACGGCAGGCATCTCCACGTAACCCAGCCTGGGAGTCATTTCTCCCTACTCTCAGATCCAGTTCCCAAGCAAGTCTTGTCAATTTAATATGTAAGCTGTATCTCGACTCCATTCACTTCCCCTTGTCTCCACTGTCATCATCCTGGGACCACTCGAACATGGTGTCTCACCTGGTCTCTTGAACTAGCTTCTGAGTGATTCTCCACGCAACAACTCGTATGTAGGGGATCAAGCCATGTCCCTACTTTAAGCCCTTCAAAGGATTCCCACTGAACTGAGCATGAAATCCAAATTCTGTGAGGCCTTCTGTGACTTTGCCTAGTCTTCTGTCCATCTCTCTCCCTCTGCTCTGTCCACAGTGGATCTTCCTCAGGCTCTAAGTACTTCCAAGTGTTCCTACCTTGGACCATCTCTGCCGGGGATTCTCTCCCCCACACTGTGCCTTCAGCTCACTTCCTCGAAGGGGACTCCCTGATGGCGCCCTATCGCCCACTGTATGTCAGCTTCTCCTGTTCTTTTCTCTCACAGAATCCGATTCTTTCCACGACAGCCTTTGCCACAAACCGTAATTACACATTTGATCATGTGTTTATTTACTGTCTTCCCCACTGGGTAGCTTCCAGAAAGCAGCTGGGACCATGTCTGTTTCTCCTCACTGAGCATAGAGAGCCTCGTTGAGGGGCAGCCACCCCATGATGCTCCATAAATATTTGGTGAATGAATTCACACTCTTCTAGCAAATGTGCATTCTAGCAGGAATACTTTGACCCAGAAGACAAAAGAAATAGCAAAAAAATCTAAATTTTATGAAAACCCAAAGACTTTGTTTTACAAACATATAAATTATTTTATTTACAAAGCCATGTTACAAAAAAAAAAAAAAAAAAAAAGGCAAAAAAAAAAAAAAAAAAAAAAAAAAAAGGGAAAAAAAAAAAAAAAGTACAATCGCTCACTGGAGAATGTCTCCAGGCCTGGTGCTGAACCATGGCAGTATCAATGGATACATGTTTGTTCTTTCCTTTTAAAACTGTAAGCCGTAGAATTTACTATTTACACCTACTTTAGACATTTATTCTGCTTACAACATCACAGGCATGGAATGACTTCTATCCGATAGTGCTAATACGTAAAGGTGCGGGGACAAAGAAGGAAAATACTTAGTGTTACAAAATATGGATCGTAGAAAAGAAACCCACTCCACAAGTGTGGCGTTTGTTTAGAATGTTGGGACATGCTTTCTCCAAAATTCTTCTGGAAAAGGTTCTAAAATCGGTAGTAGGAAAGGACAAATGAGCAGGTGCAAATTCTTGTCTGTGCAACAACAGTTATTGAATATACCCCATGACTGACCAGCTACGTAAAACCCACAGAGTTTTGTTAAAGTGCCATGGGCCGACAGCATAACAAAATAGAAGGTGTAAATAGAAAATTTTTCTTTTTTTTTCCTTTTTTTAAAACAAGAGTTCACTGAGAATCAGCAATAATAGAATATGCTGTAGAAACTATTCTCTACAAAGGTTGATCAGCGTTATTTACAATTGGTACATTGATACAAAAGAAGGCATACAAGTTATCCAAGTCGCTTTTTTTTTTTTTTTTTTTTTTATGGCTGACAGGTCTATGCATTGTGTTATGCTTAACAACCAGAGCTTTTGAGCCTCTATGGCTGACGACAAGTCATGAGATCTTCAGGCAAATGAAGGGGGGAATGGTGTGTGTGTGTGTGTGTGTGTGTGTGTGTGTGTGTAGTCAAGGGGCTGGGGCGGGATGCGCAGAACAGAAGTACCCAAAGGGTCTCACCCTAGTAATGCTTTATAGGCTGGTCCAGTCGAACTCCATTAAAACAAACCCAAAGAAAACCTTTTATTTGCATTCCATTTTTCAAGCTGTAAGTTTTTAATACATCATTATAAAGTAAACCTGTGGTTGACTGTGAAGGAAGAAACACCGTGGGTTTTCCCTTTTGCTCAGTTTTCCAGAAATGTCCTCACCTTGGTCAGAGCCAGTCTTTCACCAAGTAAGCAGCATTCGGTGGGGAGCCTCTTTATTCCAGCTTGCAATTCAAGATGCAGACAGCTAAAATGTTTAAGCCTACTGAATTGCTCCTTTCGTCCCTGTCGAGACATTATTTCTCAGAAGCAGCCACTTAATCTCTCAACCATTGTTTTCCCTCTTTTGAGTTTATGAGTTTATAAATCAGAGGGTTATTTTGTTGCTGAGATTTTTTTATTTTTTTTTGTTTTTTTACTCCTGCAAGTTTTACAACTTAAAATAAATTATAAAAAAACAACAGACTTCTAAAACCGAACGAGACAAAAATTGTGCAAAAATAACAAAGATATGTACATACTTTTCCGTCTGAAGAAATGTACAATAAAAACATAATTCAAAGAACATTTTAAAAATATAAACATTGCTTAAACTTTCCTACGTTTCATATTGTTTCTGAAACTATTCTGGTCAGTTAGCTCTGTAATATAGTAAAACATAAATTATTACAAAATTAACACTATAAAAATTTACTTTAAGAATATCTTCTAAATTTTTTTTCCAAAGGGTCTAACCTGTTTATAATTTCTTAAACATTTTATAAGTCTTAAAATCTGCCTTAATTTTTTTTTTAAAAAAGAAAAAGTAACCATCTTCCCTTCAATTTGTAGTCTCTTTTTCTCAAGATGTAAATAAACCGGCATATAAGTGCACTTTTAACACTGTAGAAATAAAAATGAAATCATCTGAACTAATGTCCTGGTACCTAATATCAACTCCTGATTTTTAAAAAAATCTTCATTTTATATTAAAAATTTTAGGAATCCTATAAGAAACACGGTCAGTGCAATTCCATTGATACAAATCACTCCATTTGCCTCCCGTCTTCGCAAAATCCAATGTGGTAAAACGTAACAGTAGTCTGATCTTTGGGTTGTGGGGATGGGAAGGAAAAGGGAAACTTTGGGGTTGGGATGAAGGTTTGGGTCCAGCTGCGAAACTGGCATTCATTTCTGATTTAGGGATGAAGCAAAACTTCCTGGTCTCTCTTGCTAATATATCGTATACAAAATTTCATGATTAATAGCACAAGATGCCTATTTCATATTGTGAATTCCTTTCCTGATTACCATTCCGTAGTACAGCTTGTGGTTATTGCTATTTCTTTTAAAACTCCAGTGTGAACAGTTGCAGAGCTGTGGGGCTCTAGCTTTTCTCTTCCCACACTTCCAGACAGCTCCGCACTAAGGGGTAGGTAGCTGGGCTGACCATACCTCCCTGGGGTGGCTGTGTCCAGGCTGGGGCTTGGGATAGCCTAGCACAAGCTGACTGATGGGTGTGCTGACTGCCTGGGACCCTGGGGCTGGGGGCTCCGAGGCAGGAGGGCAGGGCTAGAAGTTACTTATTCTCCCAGGTGTCTATTGCTTAACCCTTCGTGGAAGTTTGTCCTCAGACCCTTCCTGCACGCCCAGCCCTGCTTCTACTCCTCTTGCCTAGCCCTGGAAGGAAGCTTAAGAACTTGCACCGTGGAAGCTGTGTCTCAAGCCCTGAGGGACCTCCTGGGGTCTCCTGCCCTCCTTCCTGGGATTTCTCCGCCTCTGGTTCGCCTGGCTTTGGCATCACTGTAGACCCGCACCCTGGAAGGGATTCTGCTGCACAGATGCCTAACAACCTCATATTATCAGTCACTGGCTTTCCTCTGTCTTTTGACAGGTATCTTCCCCTACGCAGAAGCTCTGCTTCTTGTCACCTTCCAGGCCCATTCCAGCCCGTCCCTGACCCCGTAGCTCCTCTCTGAGCTGCACAGCTGGACAGTGGTATCGGCTAAACGACATAGTTCAACGGCCACTCTTCTCGGTTTTGCTCATAGCATCTGGCTCCCGCAGTGCTGGTGCGGCGCAGAACCCTGATGAGCGTGCTCAGTCCTCACGGGGCTCCCTGCTCTCAGCGCCCCAAACACAGGCTCTTCCCCAGGAAAGCCCCACCCCCAGCACACTGTCCAAAGGGGAGCCGGCTCCTTCTGCATGGCCAGTGAGGACCCGGTGAGCGGCAGGTGGGAGGGGACGCAAGGGATGGGTGGGAGGTCGAGGAAAGGAGCACCGCGTGCTCAAGTTCAAGAGTTTCAGACAACGCCAACCGGGAGCGGACATTGGGCCATGTCTGTGCTCGTGGCTGGAGCGAAATGATGGTGCAGTAGCAGCATGGGAAGCTAGAGGGGCGACCCCGAACTTGGAAGAACGTATACACAAGGCAAATGAAAGAACCCAAACAGAACACTGGTATTGTTTTCTGTAAATCTTAAATTCACATTCTTTTGCCTTTTGCTCTTTCTTCAAAACTAAAAACTGGTCAATTAAAAAGGAAGAAGAACGACCCGAGCCACAGTCACGGCGCAGGAAACAGACTCTCCCTGGCTGCGCGCTCCCCTCCCTCCTCCTCCCACCTTGGCCAGGCGGCCAGGCATTGGTTTCCAAGTGGCTTCACAGTCTTGTTATGGAAGAGTCCTTATCCTGCCCGTTCGGTTTGTGGTCTTCTAGGAAAGAAAAGAAAAGCTTGTTTCAAAAACCGTACACTTGGGATGATCCGCAAGAATTCAAGAACAGAGAGGCTCAGTTTCCACGGCTGTGATACAGAGCCACCTTGGGCCTAAGGTCATGGTGAAAGGCACGTGAGGCGCCGGGTGTGGAGGGCTGCCTGCACCTGTGGCCACACAGATCCTCTCTGGGGGGGGAGACACAGGGACACATCTCCTGGACATGCATGGTGGGGGTTCCCTACTACAGAGAGATCTGGAATAATGGGTCCATCTGTTTTTTTCCTCTCTTAATTCACCTTTTCCTACCTAACCTGTAGACCACAGGGAGAATTCTCTAAGGAAGATGTCTAATAACAGGTTAAGCACAGAGGCTCTGGGTTCAAGTTTCTTAGCCTCTCCCTCTGGGCATCTTCAGCCTATAACATGAGGATCATCATTTGTCCCTCATACAACTGCTACAAGGGTTATATGTATGAAATGTATGTGAAGGGCTCAGCACAGCACCCACAGAGAAAAGCCTCAACAAATGCTATCTTATTACTATTACATCTGTTAAGGGTGACCGTAGCCAACAGGTGCACTGCGCAACCTGTGGAGGAGGCCGGTCACAAACGGGGGCAGGTTACCAGGTCATATATGACTCCGGCCCCCGCCCCCACCCCAGCACAGAGGATAGGCTGCAGGTCCTCAGGCACAAAAAGTGACTCAAATTAGTGGAGACGCTCCTTGATCTAGGGATACAAAAACTATTTTCCCATAATCTTCACTCAAACACTACCCAACACTGGTGGAGAAACCCCAAAAGGTCAAAATGCAGGCATATTGCAATCTGTTACCTACAAAACCTCTGCAACATTGAAAATGATGTAACACCGCCGTGCGTGTATTTTTTCCAGTCATGTAGAACACACCTCACCCCACTGCCTACTCTCCCTGGCCTCCCTCAGAGGCGCACACACACTCCACTGGAGAAAATCATCTGTTCGCTGACTACTCTCACACTTTGAGTTTGTAGAAACTTCTAGATCCACCTTGAATACTCCTACCATGAAACCACATCTTGAATAGCAGCCACAGCTCACCAGAGGCCTTGAGAAAGGACTGATGGATCAGTGCCCAAAGCAAGGCCTTCTGGTCAACACCATTCATTTTCACGATAACCTTAGGAGGTAGGCGTCACCTTTGCCACTGAACAGATGAAAACACTGAGACTCAGAGAAGGAACCTGCTTAATATCACATGGCTGCGATTAATAATCGGGCTAAGACTTATAGTGTTTGGTCTGTGTCAGGCATTTTCTAGAGGGCTTATGCAGATAAGTTAATTTAGTCCTCACAAAAGCCATATGGGGTAGGAGCCATTATGATCCCCGTCGTGGGTGAGGAAACTGAAGCACAGAGAAGTTAAGTAACTTAGCCAACGACGCACAGCTACTAACAAGAAGGCTAAGCTCTAGAAGCGAAGAAGCTACGCTCTTAACTGGAGCTGGGGTGAGTCAGGGTCTGCCCCAACAGCCTCGCTCTCTCTGCTGGTGACCCCGTGTATTCCCTCCCCACAGCCCCTTCCCAGTAACTTACCGGTCGGCTGTGTCCTGGGCTGGATATGCTTGAAGGACTGGATTGTGACAAAGCTAGGCTGCTATTTTTCCCGACCTGAAAGACACCAGCGAAGTCCCCCTCAGATCCACCAGCCAGCCTGCTGCGAGAGACCCCCGGTATCCGGCGCCGCCCAGGGTACAACAGCGCCCTCCGGTGGTGAGCCGCTCGCGTTCCCCTCTTAGATGGCAGAAAAGACGCCAATGGCTCTGGGGACACCCTGAGGACGCCCTTCCCATCCCAGAGGGAAAGCGGAATAGTGGGTAATTCTTAATTCTGCTTCCCAGATGTAGCCGGTGAGTTTCAGGGGTGAGGATGAAGGCGTCTGGCGAGAGGCCTCGCCCCTCCTGGGGGTGGGGGTAGCATTTACCCCCGCAGAGGCCCCTGCTTCTCCACCTCTGACCTCCCAGACCGGTCCCAGACCTGTCTTGCTCCCAGCCCAGACTCCCTGGGACTAGCTCAGGATAGAAGCTTGCCTCTTATTCTGGCTGCGTTTTCCTGGCCACCGGACGCAGCGAACACCTTGCCATTCTTCAGGAAACTAGCCAAGTGAGGGGGCGGGGCGGCTGTGGGTGTGGCCGTCGGGCTCCTCCCCTTCCTCTGCGTCCTGGGTGCGCACGTGGTGGGCGGGTTCCTCAGGTAAGTACCCTGCCTACAGGCAGCTCCTTGCGCCTATAAAGAGCTCATCCTCTCTGTTAACTTGCCTTTGCAGAAAGACGTCTGCCTTATACTCGCAGCCTTGTTTTTTTGTTCAATTTACTACCTCTGTGAGAAATTCTGGTCTTAGACCTACCAGATACAATTAGATAGATCCCCATTTGGTTCCCAAAGCACGTTTACCCTGCCTTTCTCAACCTAGGTCATGTTTCTCTCAGTCTCCTAAAAGAATCCACACAGATTGCAAAGGCCTTTCCCCAGCACTTGGACATCCCTGGGGGGTGACCCTAGACAAAGGCTTTTCTAAATGACCCGGTGACAAGCACCCAGGTATCACTCGCATCCGAGAGCCAGTGCGAGCTAGACCCGAGGCAGCTGTTCAGGGCATCAGGTTTTTTTTTTTAATTTCCCTCTTGATAGATGCTCTGGTAGAGACCTGTCTGTTCCTTTCACCCCTCGCTTTGACTAATTCATTGTGTTAGCTAAACACTTCTTACAGTCCTGCTGACCCAAGGGCAAAGAGGACATTGCTGACTCAGTACAGAGACATTCCCTGAACACAGAGGCAGGGAGGTTAAGGGCCCAGATTCCAGAGCCAGACTGCCTGGGTTTGGATCTCTGCCCCACTATTTCCTTGCTGTGTGACTTTGGGCACGTTGTTTAACCTTCCTGTGCCTCGGTTTACTCATTTGTAAAATGGGGGGTAAGGTAATAATTAAGTGAATGAATATATCTGAAGGGCTTGGAGCAGAGCTCATCCCTTAAGTGTTGGCGCCTAGAACTTTGTCTAAAACGGGTGCCACTAGGGGGCGCCTGGACGGCTCAGTGGGTAAATACCTGACAGTTGCAAACTGAATCCTGCAGGAGGGATCTCCGCGTTGTGAGTTCAAGCCCCCTGTTATCAGGGTGGCCTGGAACCCAATGCAGTGACACCCCTGACCAGCTGACTCGGTCTGCATCTTAATAAGACCCTCCACTCCGCTTGAATACACAACCCTAGGGGATTCCTGTTACACATTCAAGTTCAGAAAGTGCTGGTTCTGCTCTTCATCATCCTGAGGCCTGAAGGTGGCCCGGATCAGCAGTGTAGTCTCTGGAGAGGGCCCTGTGGGTGCTAGCCCGCCTCCCCTACATGACTGGCGGTGCAGAGGTCAGAACAGTGGGACACCTGCCACAGCTGCAGACGGGTGTGAGCGTCCCGGGCTCCAGCGAGAGGACCTACATCTCCCCCGGTCTCACCTTGGCCTCAGTGTGCAGCTTGTCTGGCCCTTGGGACCCAAACGGGCTGTCTTTCATGTGTCTACTTGTGATTTATGAATCCCCCTCAAGATGCTCTCTTTGTGGAGTTTTAACAAGTTTAAACATGACATAAAACATTAAAACATCTGTTTAACAACGAACTCTCATCTCTCCGAAGTCTTCATCCCCACACAGGGATGGGCCAAGGGTCCGGCCCACTTAATTCTAAACCTGGGCAGCCGCAGCCCACAGTCCGGGCTGTGGGGCTCAGGCTCTGAGGCAGGCCTGTGAGTGTGGCCCTCTGCCATCTCCACCCCCTCCTGGACGCCCAAGCAGCAGCATCAGGAGGGGGTGGGGTCTCTCCAAATAGCCCCCCCACCGGAAAAGACCAGGCTTGAGGATGCCTGAGCCTGGACTCTTCTCACCCCATCTTCCCAGGCTTCCTCGCGGTACGCCCTCCTACTTGCACAGCGACATCATTGGACACGTCTGGGCCGGCTGGGGTGAGAAGCAGGAACGCTCAGGCACCCAGGGGGCAGCAGCACCAGCCACCACATCCCAGGTAGGGGCTCCCCCCAACCCTTGCCCCCCCCTGCCTATCACTGAACCTGCCTGGGCTTTGGGCCCTTCCTCGGGGGCTTCCCGGAGATCAGATTTAATGCAGTCGTCCTCAGAGCTCAAGATACAGAAGAGACAGGCGTGGCAGGGGAACTCAGCATCCCCCCGTGCCTCACTTTCCTCATCTGTAACGCAGTGATAACAAACGCACCAACCACTCTGGGTGGTGGGGTTTAAACGAAGTGATATTTGCCCAGTGCTTCGAATGGCCCAGCACATAGCTACAGCCACCTAAAGTATATGTTCACTAAACCATCCTCAGAACAGAGGCCGCTCTGGTCTTGACCTGAGCCACCCGGCTCAGCAGGGGCGCTGCCCGGCCCGCTCCGTCCCCCAGAGCCCACGAAGGCAGCACCAGGAGGCCCCCAGAAGCATGGGTCCCTTACCTGCCGAGAGGAGGCGCTGTTAACGGGATCGGGCACCGGTGCGAGAAGGCTGGGAGGGTTCTTTTTGTGAACGCTATTCATACCAGGCATTTTAGTGATTTTACAGGCTTTGCTACTAGAACTCGAGTTCTTACGCTTTTTTCCTTCTGATTTGTCAAAAGAGAGGGGCAGCGAAGACACGGCATTGTGTGAGGCCAGAGAGAGGTCCCCTGCAAGGGAGGGCACAGAGAGGGGACAGGAGTCACTGCTGCCGCCCACCGAGCCCACATGTCTCACTATGTCCGCGGGGCCGCCGGGCAGCGAGGTCCGTCCTGAGGGCTCCAGTTTGGCACTGAGTGGGCTCACCCCATTGTTTGAGTTGTGCACAGACAGACTGTTATAGGGAGGGGCCGCCTGATAGGAGTTCAAGGCTGAACTGGCATTCAAGACACAGTTCTTTCTGTGGGGCCCTGACAATGGAGACGAGAGGGATGTCGGCAGGGTTAATGAGGAGGAGGAGGAGGAAGTCGAAGGCTGCGGCTTCCTCTTTTTGTTACTTGGAGACTCGTCGCTACGGGCGGACAGGTCTTTGACTTTTGAGGATTTGCTGGTTTTGGTTTTGGATGGCTTGTGGGATGGGGAAGGGATGACGGCTGGTATCGGGGACACGGCGGGTGGGGCCTTGAAGGTTGAGTCCATGATGCTGAGGGTTGCAGCCACATGGGGGAAAGCTGTGGTGTGTGACATGAGGGCACTCGGGTCCGGCGACGCCACAAAAGGTGCGTTTGAGAGCATGGCTGATGTCATTATGTAGGAAGAGGTGAGTCTCGAGCTGATGGGAGCTGAAGAAAGATACACGGCACTGGGGTTGTTGAAAGGCTGGGAAACGGATGCTGGAACGGGGGTGGTGATGTGGGCTGCTGGCGAGGGCATGGGGCTATCTGCCGCAGGAGGGATCTTCCTAAACATGAGAGAAGAGTGAAAGAGAAACCGTGAGAAACAGGCTTGGCAGCGCTCCAGAGGCTCGAGCACGTGTGAGTGGCAGGGCTCCACGGAAACCCGGGGTCGAACCACACTATGGAAGATGAAGCCTTGGAGGATGGCGGACTCTGAATTATGGCCCTTCCCTGCAGTTCCCCCCATTGCAACAGCCAGCAACCTAGTCTGAGTCACTTTCAGGTTCTCAGATCCTTTTCTCCATGCTTGGCTACCGGATAATGGCCGATTTGGGTTCATGAATAAAGGTGAATGTTACTTAGAATAAAAATTTCCCCGACAGTGTTCTCTCTCTCTCCCTTTTTCTTTTCCTTTCTTTCTTTCTTTCTTTCTTTTTTTTTTTTTGGCAGTGATGACGGTGATTTTTAATGAGAAGCAGTCATTTCACAGGTAGGTCCTGGCTTGATGTAAGAAGTGTGAGGACAGGGCTTTGCCACCTGTACCTGGGGGGAGAGCCCTGCACACTGCCTCTCGGGGCTTCCCAGCCACTCCTGTCCTCTGCCCAACCCTCCCCTGCCTCCCCCCGCCGCTGGCAGGCCAGCATCCTCTTGCCTTTGCTGTCTGCTGCCTCCGCTTTATTCTGCAGAGAGGCATGAACACGTGAGCTCGGGGCTGGGGCTGCCGGCTCCGATTTATTCTTATTCACCGCACCCAACCTCAGCTTTCACTCTGAGGAGCTATGATGGGGGTGCGGCGACCCTCACACAGGTCTTCCCGCCCTTGGGTTAGGATGGGATGAGACGACAGCGACCCCCATGGATCCCGACCAGGGGGTCAGGAATTTCCAGTTTGTTCTGAAGACAGATGCAGGATATGGGCACAGGAAAACACAGGGGGTGGGGGGGCCGGGGTTCTTCCAGGAGGTTGGGGAGCCCAGGCCAGCACCAGGTGGCAGGTCACTCTTGAGGCCATCCTGTCAACTCCGTCTGTTGACTCTCACCTCCAAACCATGGTTGGCTCGGTGTCGCCGCTACTCTGGGAACTGGGAGGGGCACAGGGGGCCTTGGGGTCACCCTTTGTTCCTGATTTTTTTTTTTGGGCAAGAAAGGATACTGACCTCAGGAACCAGGTGAATATTTTCAAATGGGCGCTTTCCTATCTTTCCCCTCGCTCTCCTCTCCCCGCTTCCCTGGAAATCATTTTCAGGGGAGCCGAGTCCTCCCACCCCCCAGCAGTCAGGAACTAGCACTCTTTCTTTGAAAGCAGCACTGGCAGGTGGGGAGACTTGGGACCTGCATCCCCAGGCTTCTAGCAGGTGTGAGATGGGGCCTCTTGGCCTCTTGAAATTCCTTGGCTCCTTGGCCACCCTCTCAGCTGGAGCAGCAGGACGGGGTGCCCCTGGACTCCCCAAAGAGGCCCCACCAAGGAGGACATTCCTCTCCTAGCGCTGCCCTGAGGACTCGGTCTTCTGCCTGCAATCTGGTGGAGCTTACGGCTTCCATCTTTAGGGTGGAATCCAAAGGAATCCTTGAATACAGAAGCAGCACAGGGTCCTTGAAAACATCAGACCAAACGGATCAAATATAAGAGAAAAAATGTTGCCAAATCCACTGTGGCCGTGATGGCGTTCAAAAATCTACCTTTTCTTAAGCCCAAAGGACATAAAAGGTCCTGTTGGCACCCAGCCAGGGCTCCTCAGTACTTGTTGCAATGAACCGATGAGTGAATGAATGGATGGATGGATGGGAGGGCGGACAGGTGAGCGGGTGAGTTCTCAGCAGCAACAGTACTATGCATGCGGGGAAGGGACTCCCAGGAGAGCAGACCCCGGAGGCCTGGACACGCCCTTCAAACTGTCTGGCAGGCACATGCCACCCTGACACTTTCGGGAAGACTTCTCGGGCTGTGCGGGCTTAGCACGCTCTCCCTCTCCCTGCCGTCTGTCGCCAGCCCGCGCCGTCTTTCCCTGACTCCAGTTTCTCACCAGCTAAAGTAGGGACAGAAATACATGCGGGCAGAGGTTTGGCAGTGACTTGTTAACAAATGTTATTTACAGATACCAGATGGCTCCTTTAGAGAGGACCCCGAGCAATGGCCTTAACTGGGATCGACTCCGAATGCCCTGATTTGTAACTTTCCCACTGAGTCACGTGAGTGTGTTTTGACTTGCGAGGACAAGCAAGGGCTGGAGTCGACCGTCTTACCCGGGACACTCCGGACGGGGGTGGGGGTGGTGGATGCTATTTTCCTCATCTACTTTCTGTCCCTTGTCTTCTTTTCCCCAGTAGCCCTAAGTGGAGGGCAGAGGCAGAGGAGAGAGAGGGCAGGGGTGAAGCAGAGCGAGGGGCATGTGGTTAGGCTCACTGTCCCGGGAAGCCCCTGCCTCCCCGGCTCGACAGTTTATGTGTTTTTCTAGGTGGATGGCAGTGGACTTCAGCTCTGCGGGCTGTGCCCTGGTTTCAACTTTGCACGCTGGCCTAGGAAGTCCCATCCAAAAGCCCACAGATGCGCATAAATTACGGACAGCGCCCCTCCTCCCCTGCCAGCTGGCATGGAGCTCCAGATGCTGACCTGGCTGAAAGAGAATACTGTGTTGGCGTCTCCTGATGCAGAGTTAAATGCTTGTTAAAGAAAAAAGAGTCTTGGCCGTTCCTTTTCTTCCTAATGTCTTCCACGCCCCCATCGGCTGCCATGCCTCCAGGTTCGGGCCCGTCGGGGCCTGGGGTTGGGGCAGCGAGGCTGAGAGGGCAGCGGGGTGCTACGCTCTCCAGAGTTGACACCCAGGCAGCCCCAATGTTGCTCAGTGACAGCAGATTGGTTAGGCAAGTCCTGAAAAGGGGGGAGGGACCTGACGCCCTGGGACTCGGGTTTCTGTGCCTGAGGAGGAAAGGAATATGGAGCTTGAGCTGACAGGACACCAGGTAGCGAAATACAGATCAACACATTCCTTCCACGTGTCCGGGATTTACACTTCCACCACACAGGAGCGCAAAGAGCTGTGGGAACCCCCGGGGCGGGCTGCCATCTTGGGGGAGCAAGCGCACCAGGGTCAACCCCCCAAACACTGGGAACCCAGGAACCCCACATGCAGCGCCCGGTGGTGGCTGTTTAGGGCGGTCACAGGCAGACACTGAGGGTGCCCTTCAGACACACTGAGCTGTCACTTCTGTGAGAAGAAGCGATAAGCTTCTCTTGTGGCCCTTGCCTATTTGGTAGTAAGTGTCACCACGGAGTCCACTGGGACAGCGGCCCGCACACCCCACGGGGCTGGCTTCTGCTAGAAGTTCGGGTCTGGAGGCTCTCTGGGCATTGCAGTGGAAAGGGGCTGAGGTGCCACAGCTGCCTGGGACACGGGGCAGCTCTGAATTCTGTTCCCGTGTCCCCTCGCCGCACCATCCCATTCTCAGGAACGCCTTCCCGCTTTTCCCCGGCTTCTCTCAGTGGGGTTCGGGATTCACCTGTGGCTTTCCTGACCCACCTGGGCCCAGCCCTGAGGGGTCCATGACTCTAGTGGATTATGATATCCTAGGGGCTCACTTCTGTGGGAGTGGGGGTGCGGGCTGGCCGTGCATTCTCAGCCCGTTTAGCTTGTCATTCTTTCACAAGGGCATTTGGCTAAGGCAGGAAGTTTCCTCCCCTTTTTTATGAGTCTCCTGTTAAGATGTAAATACATCGGGAGGTGCTGGAGAAGAAAGGGGGCTCAGAGAAATGGAACGTAAGCTGGGGCAGGGGGGCAGAGAAGTACAGGGAGAGGTGAGGAGAGAGCTCTAGCTAGGCGGGAAGGGCCAAAGACAAGCTTAACCAACTTCCAACATCACTCAGGACCCGCCCTGTTGGCCGCCATATGTATTTTTCTCACAGGACATTAAACAATTAGAAATTGGTCCATAACCATTGTGAAAATTTTAGTATCGACATTGTAGCATTAACATTACAGACAGAGGCATATTCTTAGTATCCTTAGATGTTCTTAGTCATAGCAAAAAGGCCCTTTAACAGTCTTAAGTAGACGAGATCTTATCTAATGCCTTTTTCACTTAGTTTAGAAGATTACCAATGCAAAAATGATCTCCAAAGAGGACAAGGCATACCACATGTCGTACGCGTCTCTGAGAAACTGTCGGGAAGCCATTAAGAAGACCTGGTACTTATGAATTAAGCAGGGATCCCGATTTCAGAATCATTTTGTTCCATGAAAAGCCAACTACCACATTCATCCAGAAAGCTAGGGTTCAGACAGTCTCGGGGTAGCTCTGAGCGTATATTGCACAAAAACGGCTCACTTACTTCCACATCTGTGAATTCAAGTGTTTTTCTACCATGGAGTTTAGTGCGAATCGAAAACGATCCCATCTTCTATCAAACACATAGTACCCTCGTCCCATGAGGCGACTCCCGAATGAGCAAAACTGTGAGGGGAAAAAACATTTTAATTTTGATTACAGGTTAATAAGCTAATATAAACCATGCAGAGAAAAATAACATTTGCACAAAAACACACAGGGGTACAATTTTACTCAAAATAAAGAAGCAAATAGTATTGAAGCCAAAAATATTTCTGTGGTGCTCTCGGCTGTGCTCTAGATTTTCTGCAGAACCTCGCGTTAGGACTCGACAGTAGTGACATTCAATCTTCTGTGGCCCTGAGGGCTACCTTCTCTACACCCGGGATTGAGCCAGTATTATAGGTTAAAAACAAACACACAAACCAAACCAAACCAGCAGTGGGGAGGGTTTTTCAGCACTGCCTGCTTATGGTATATCATCTGTCTTCTCCAGGGACTCGGTGGTTCCTTGCTCCTCCCTGTAGTAATGGACACTGTTTGTCCTGACAGTCTGCCAACTGGTCAGAGCTTTCCCATCTGTTGCCAACAGAGCCATTTCACTTCCAGGGAGGCTATAAACTCCTTCCTTCCCCAGTCCCGACCTCATGTCCACCTCTGCACTTTAGGCTGCCCTGTGACACATCACCGTCACCACGCTTCTGTTCATGCTGTTCCCTTGGCCCGTTCATGCTGTTCCCTCTGTTCCCTGTCTTCTTCCCTCTTCTCTTGAAGTCCCAATTCTCCCCTCCCCCAGCGGCCTAATCAAGACTCTCATTTCCAGTGGCCCTTATGTGACCAGCCTCATGCCTCTAGCTCCCACCGCATACCAATCGCATGCTTTATTACATGTCACCTTGGAATTGGCTGTTTTATGTTCTATGTAAATAATATCTATGTGCTTTGCTTGATTTTAAGTGTATAAAGGCTGGAAGCCTCGTTCTCTTCTTCCTCCTTAGTGTGAGGATGGTAGGGAAGAGATCTGGGATAAAGAATGGATTGCAGAGACAAGGTCCGACAAAATGTTTTTTAAAGCAAATTGTCACATTTAAAACATGTGGCTGAAGTATGTGCAGTAAGATGTTTAACGAATGTCACTGGATTACAATGTTAGGGCAACCAGAAGACCTGCAGACAGAAATTCAAGAAGCAGCCTCTGAGAAGGTGACATTTGGATGGTCTACAGCTCAGGCGAGTCTGCAGAAGACTCTCTAACTCAAATACAGCTTCTCCCCCTTTCCCCAGACCTCCCGGCAGCTCCCTGGCCTCCATCCCAGACACAGAGGCTTTGGCACTCATTCCACAAACCCTTCCTGGAACCAGCCTTTGGAACGGTTCTTAGGAGGAAATGCAAGACCTTGCTTTTGTTTTGTTTCTGCTTATGTTTTGGGGGCTTTGCATGAAAATTCTGTCACCCGTCAAATCTGGTAATCCTGATGAAAAACTCTTTCCTGCACTTTCCTATCAAGTGCTTACGGACGGAGCAAGAAAATAAACAAAAGGGATTCTCCAATGTGGAAGCTGGTCCCCAGCAGCATGTGGGAGCTGTTCCAGGTCTAGACATCTTTTCTTCCTTCGTCCCAGTTGCTAAAGACACCCTGAGTGACCGTTCATGACAAAAAGTGATTTAATGTAACAATTGACCATGAGGAAAAGGACAAAGCAAGGAAACAATCCATGGGCTTTACATTTAAATCAGCAAAACATGAAGGGCACACAAATCCGCCATGCCCAGAGTTGAGCTAAGCCACTGGAGCCTGGCAGCCTGTCACTTGGACAAACATCCCAGGCTCTGGAGTCTGGCCTTCTGGTAGAGCCCAGGCTTCCTTTCAAACTCAGAAGCTGAAGGCTCCCTATTGTCTTTGCTACCCATGTCTCTAATTCGATACTGACGCAAGGTTAACATCCAAGAGGCTCCTGTTCTCTGCCACCCATTGTGCCTTAGATGGCGCTGCGGGTCCTCACTGCCCCAGCCACCGTGGCTGGCTCTGCTGCCAGCCCACCCATACTTCTCCTCTCACCTTTTCCTGCCTAATGGAGCCACCCTTTTGTTCCGGTATCTGACACGGAACAGGGAGTAGGGAATGGGGTGGGGGTGTGTATGGGGGTCCCTTCCCAGAACCTTGAGATGAACCATGTCTACTTTCGTCCTGTGTCACTGCAATCCCCTCGTCCTGAGCCCCCAGTTGGTACAGGGGTGGGCTCGTCACCCTTTTCTGCTGGACGGAAGCAGATGCCTGCTGGGGGAGCTCACTGGAAACTTTCCTTCCTTAAGAAATGATATAAGATAGCACCTTAGAAGAAGACTCCCTTTCTGTTTGTCCCCTTCTGGAGGGTGTGACATGGGAGCTGTCGCAGGCACAGGGGACCGTGGATGACAGGCAAAGAGGCTTGAGAGATTCTCGCTGAGTAGCACCATATTACGGAGGTGCTGAACCAAGGAGGCAACCACCTACCTCTGGACCTCTTGTTCCATAAGATGAACCAATGACTATGGTATACACTATACATGACTTCGACATTCTGTTCCTGGCAATCAGAGGCATTCCTCCCCGTCCCTATTTCTACATTGTCTAAGCAGCAAAGTCTCAGGGTGTTGGTGAACCACAGGTCACCACCAACCCCAGAAATGGGAAGTGAATTTGGCCTGTATCCATCATACAGACAGAAGGGAGGAGGCACTCACTCTATCTTGTTGCAGGACTTTTTTTTTTTTTTTAAGATTTTATTTATTTTAGTAATCTCTAAACCCAGTGTGGGGCTCGAACTCCCAACCCCGAGATCAAGAGTCACATGCTCCACTCACTGAGCCAGCCAGGTGCCCCAGTACAGGACTGATTGTCCCTACAGAGCCCATGACATCTAGGGATAGTCAAAGGAAACCTTGCAGGGCTCCAGCTGGGACCAGACCAAACAGGCCATGGGGTCCCACATTCCAGGCCCCCCTGAATTTGGCTACGTGATGGTAGCCAGGAAGTCCCTTCTTAAGTGCTTGTAGGGCAAATGTAAAAAAGCCTTTAGCTCATGCCTCCTGACACTTCCCACCTCGATTTCAATGACCTTTTGAACTGTCGAAAGAAAGACTCTTTCAAGGAATTGGACTTTTTAACCAGTGATCATGCTGATGTGCAATGTTTCCTCCTCTCTTTGCACACACACACACACACACACACACACACACACTCTTTCTCTCAGTTCTGGTGCCATATGGTCACATTTACTAATAACGATAAAATTCAGAACCAACAGGGGAGAAAAGCAGCTAGGGCTGGCACCTGGCATACTGCTAAGACAGACGGTTTCCAAAGCAGGTGAGCTAGATGGGACTCTGGAAACCAGAGGCTCCATTCTGAGCCGGGTACAGCCGCAAGGTCAGCTGCCCAGCGCACTTACATCAACACCATTTCTCAGGCCTTCTCGCTGCAAGGTGGACCACGGCTACTCAGACGCTTAAAGGATTATAACCAGGTGGGAGCCCTGCCCTTTCCTTCTGGGACGTTCAAGGGTAAACTGAAGGCAGTCGTTCAACCTCAGGGTAAACCTTTCCATCAACCACTGTTCTGGCAGCCTCTCCTCAGGAATGGGCGCTGGCCGGCAGGGCGACCTCAACGCCTGCAGGGCACCGGGGGAGGGGGCGGAAAACACATGGGTGGAAACACGGTGGCCTACCGCAAGAGGTCTGGGGTGGTGGGTAGAGAAATGACAGTCTAACTTCTCGGGTTCGTCAGCTCCATCCATCTCCCCTTCATCACTCGACAGCCGGCTGGTGAGGTCCCCTCCGGCGGGGGGCAGCGGGGGCTCCGGGCCGTAGCCGCTGTGGTTTGAAGATGTGCTGCTGCTGATGCTATTTGCAGAAGACGGTCTGAGGGCAAGAGAGAATGGACAGAATGAACTTGGCGGAGGGAGGAAGACCCACGGGGTTGAAGGGAGCTCCGAAGGCAGACTGATCCGCTCTCTCGATACATCTAGGAAGGCGGGCCAATGGTAAATTTACACGAGGGAAAACTTCAGGCTGAGAGCAGGTAGGGATCAATAGGCTTTCTACAATGATCCAGGGGCGCTTAGGCTCTGCCCTGCTTAAGTCCAGGCACCAGGGAAAACTCCAACGATGTAAGTGGAACATAAAATACAGTAAGAGAGAATTAACTTAAAACCAGTCCTCTAACGAATTGTTATAACTCATCCGTTTGCATGTAATTAATTTGTACTCGTCATGTAGCTGCTTCTTCCTGAAAGTGGAACCTGACAGGAAGATCAACCAAGTAAACAACTTCAAACCAATTACCGAAATATCAGTCACGAGGGAAGATGGCCCCACACTTGGTTTTAGCTACTAAACTCCAGCTTTGTGAAATTAACACACTGGCATGGAAAAAGTCTTTGTCCCATTGATGGGGCAGAAGTCTCTTACCCCACAGTTAGATCTGTTTCTTTTTTTTCCCCCCATTTTTTTTTTCTTTTTTAAAGTAAGCTCTACACCCAATGTGGGGCTTGAACTCATGACCCTGAGAACAAGAAATGCATGCTCCACCACGGACCCACCAACAGAGCCAGCCAGGTGTCCCCAGATGTGTTTCTTTTTCTTTTCTTTTCCTTTTTAAAGATTTTATTTATTTATTCGAGAGAGAGAGAGAGAGAGAGAGAGAGAGAGAGAAAAGCACTAGTTGGGGGGAGGGGCAGAGAGAGAAGCAGACTCCCTGCTGAGCAGGGAGCACAACACAGGGCTCAATCCCAGGACTCTGGAATCATGACCTGAGCCAAAGGCAGATGCTTAACCAAATGAGCCATCTAAGAGCTCAAGCTGAGTTTCTTAGTATCATGCCACATGTTGTTTAATCATATCTTCTGAGGATGAATGTTTCCATTTAACTTTTGACAAACCACTAGAACCACAGGCTGCCATGGCTGGCCTACAGTAGGTGCTGCAGAACTGTGTTTCTCACTGAAGGAATGAATGTGTTCCCTGTGTATGAACAATCCAGCAGATCTCATCCGGATGACAACTAAGCTTGAAAAGCAATGTCATAGGAGGAAGTACCGCGGGTTTCATGAGCAGCAAAAAACCAAAACAAGGAGAAAGCAAAAACAAACCAAACACATCGCTATCAGTGAAAGACCTAAAGGAGGAATAGTCAGAGTTAGCTATCAGTTGTTTTTCCTGCTTCTCCACTTTCAGAAGGTGACTGGGGAGAAATACAGGGAGAAAAAGAAGTTTGGGAAGAAAAAAAAATCCAGATCCTTTATTTAAAAAAATATTTTATTCATTTAACAGAGCAAGAGAGAGAGAGGGCGCAGAAGCAGTGGAGCAGCAGGCAAAGGAAGAGGGAGAAGCAGGATCCCCACTGAGCAGGGAGCCTGATGCAGGACTCGATCCCAGGAACCCGGGATCGGGATCTGAGCCAAAGTCAGACGCTTAACCAACTGAGCCACCCAGGCACCCCAAAATCCAGATCTTTAAAAAAAATGGGCTTTCTGCATTCTGCTCTCCCTTCTCCCTCATTTTCACTCTCAGTGCTGTCCAGGGGTCAAACAGCTAAGTTCAAATCGATCCCCAAAACAGTCCTTTAAAAGCAAAGCCACAAAGGTGGAAACAATCTGAACATCCATCAATAAATAGATGAATGGATAAAACATATTTATGGTATAGCCATACAATGGACTATCAGTTAAGTCCTAAAAAGGAAGGAAATCTGGACACACAACAACACGGATGAACCTTGAGGACCTGACGCTGAGTGAAATAAGCCAATCACGAAGGACGAAGATTGTATGACTCCACTTATGTGAGATACCCCCAGTAGTCACGTTCACAAAGACAGGAAGTAGAACAGTAGTTACCAGCTATTGGGGATGGGTGCAGAGTATCTCTACAAGATGACAGAGGTTCTGGAGATGGATGGTGGTGACGGTCACGCCACGATGTGCATGTCCTTAAGCCACGAACATATACACTTAGAAATGGCTAAAATGGTAAATACACCTTACGTATATTTTGTCACACACACACACACACAAAATCCATAAGAAAACAAAAACAAGGCCACAGGTAGTTTGCAGTCTCACTGTAAGAACTCTGTTGGTATGATAAATTTATTGACTGTCATCTTCCTGTATTTAAGCAAGCAAGGATGCCATTCATTCTGCATGTTCCACGTGTATCGTCCAGAGAATACATCACCTCAAGTGCACTCCTAGATGCCTACTCTCCTGTATCAGAAGGGGCAACAACATTATTGCCTATTTACAGCTGGAGACCCAAACACTGAAACAATTTTGATAATGCTGAAACATGCAAAGAGAGAAAATGGCACCCATAATCCTGCCACTCAAGATCAAATGTTATTACCATTTTGATTTATATCCTTCCAGATTTCTCTACTGTGCATACACAGCACACGCGTTTTTAAGCAAGAACTGGATCGCACCGTACATACTATTTTGAGATGTGCTTTCCCCCCCAGCCTAGTGATGTTGTAGAGATCTTTCAATGTGTAGAACTATATCATCATTTTTTAAAAAAGATTTTTATTTATTTGACAGAGATCATAAGTATGCAGAGAGGCAGGCAGAGAGGAGGGGAAGCAGGCTCCCCGCTGAGCAGAGAGCCCGATGCGGGCCTCGATCCCAGGACCCTGAGATCATGACCTGGGCCGAAGGCAGAGGCTTTAACCCACTGAGTCACCCAGGCGCCCCATATCTTCATTTTTAATATTCCCCAATATTCCGTAGTAAGGATATATCATAATTTACTTAACTAGTCTATTGATGGACATTGACATTTTTTCCAAAATTTCTAGCAGGCCCTTTTTGAGGCCTTCTCCATGGTGATAGGGCCTCCTTGTCCTGCAGGAGATAAAAGTGAGCTGGGTTTTGTTAAGTGTGATTAATAGCATTTTCGTTATATAGGAAAATATCTTTACTTTTTAAAGATGCATTTGGAAATCTTTAGAGGTGAAATGCCATGTTATCTGCAATTTACGTCAAAATGTGTCACCAGAAAATGTAGATAAAGTAAATACAACAGCAAGATGTTAATATTACAGCTGTTAAAACTAGGTATGCAGGTGTTCATTTTATTATTCTTTCTATTTTTCTGTACGTGGGTAAAATTTCATAACAAAAAGTAAACAACAACAACAACAACAACAACAGAAAAAAAACAGAAAGCGAGCTACTAGTACAGATACGTGTAAGGAAGTAGTTGAGGAACTTCCTGTTATATGGGCCACATGGATTGAACACGCTTATCTCCTCATCCTCCCAAAACACTACTAAAATCACAGTAAAGGGATCAAAAAGGCATGGCTCCGAAGAACAAAGAGATCAGCAGAAATACAGCGATCCTTATGGTAGTTACTCCCCAGCCTCCATTTAACCCCTAAACCAATAATGGAAATCTCATTCATCTGGCTAATGATTGGTTTGGAAAAGGGCATGAGAAATACATAAACATTTTTTTTTTAATTTTATTTATTTATTTGACAGAGATCCTAAGTAGGCAGAGAGAGAGAGGAGAAAGCAGGCTCCCCGTAGAGCAGAGAGCCCGATGTGGGGCTCGATCCCAGGACCCTGGGATCATGACCTGAGCAGAAGGCAGAGGCTCTAACCCACTGAGCCACCCAGGCGCCCCCATAAACATTTTTTTCTGGGGGGGTGGTTGCAAAGACTTTTCTCACTTTTATAATGAGACACAAGGAAAAAGTGGTCTTCACCTTCTTCTGGATGTCCCTGGAAGTGCAATTGCCATCTTGCTACAAATTTTGAAGATGAAACTGGAAGACAGAAGAGGATGGAGTAAAAGAAAGGCAGGGAACGAGAGCTGATTCCTCATCTTTGGGGACTGGTGCCCTTTCACCTCTGGACTTCTTGTCCCGTGTGATAAGAAAATTTTTAATTATTTAAACATTTAGGAAGACTAGGTTTTCTGCCACTTGCACCTGTAGCATCCCAACTGATACAGTGTGAACGTGAGACTTGAACATATTTTCAGAATACAGAATGTGTCTGCAGAAGTGTTAAATGGAGGGCAAGGAGCTGACCTACCACAAAACCTCTGAGAAGCAGGGCACCTGGAGCTACCTCAAGCTGCAAAGGTCCAGGTGAGGTGAAGGCTAAACGTAGTGGGAAAGTTGAAAGTCTTCCCATGTGGTAGCTGGACCCAAAGGTCAACACTAGGACCTTACACGGCCAGATGACTCACCATTGCCCCTGCCAGGTCCCACCTCTTCCAATCAACTCTCCAACAAGAGAACAGAAATTTACTCTTCAGAGAAAATGAACTGGAGAGACCCTAGATAAGGGGCTGCCAGGCTCAGCAGAGATCAGGAGAGAGGCAGAGGGCTGGAAACAAGGTGACCATCAGCTTTCTCTAGTCATATCCTTAGTGGGCACTCCCCAGAATGCCTATCACTGGCACATCAGCAGAGAGGAGTCTTTTACCCTGAGAAACTGAATGGCTCTGGAGAAAAGGATTCCAGATCTTGCCTTTGGGAATCCTCTAAAGAGAGGCTGATTGGTGACCTGATGACTTTTTTGTTGACAGTCCCACACAAAGACTTCCAACCGGCCCGTTAGCACTTCTCTTCTAAATGTGAATGGTTAGGGATCACTTAACATTCCTGGAACAGGGGCGCCTGGGTGGCTCAGCGGTTAAGCCTCTGCCTTCGGCTCAGGTCATGATCCCAGGGTCCTGGGATCGAGCCCCACGTGGGGCTCTCTGCTCAGCAGGGAGCCTGCTTCCCCCCCACCCTTCTCTCTCTACCTGCCTCTCTGCCTACTTGTGATCTCTCTCTGTCAAATAAATAAATAAAATCTAAAAAAAACAAAAACAAAAAAAAAACATTCCTGGAACATCTCCATAAT